TGCAAATATAGTATTGCATATTTTAATACTGTTCCCTCTAAGCTGGTCACATTTGAATGGTACCACAAGTGACCAACATTGACAGATTTTACTGTATTTGACTTCTGTTGAGATGACAGGAGTCCAGATGGGAGAGAGATCCACACTGGGTTGACTGATCGGATGGTCCAGCAGAGACATGTGGGCTGATTCCTTGTATTTCCTGTATGTGGTGTTGGGCTTGATCTGCAAGACCTTCGCTTCATTCCAACAAAGTTTGTGGCCTTCTTCATATGCATGTTGGGCTAATTTTGATTTTTCCAGCAAACCCTGTGTCAGGTTATATTTGTGTTCCTTAATGCGTACTTATAAGGGTCTGCTAGTTTTGCCGATGTAACGTCTCTCGCAGTCGCATTGGATGCTATACATACACTGCTTCATCTGCTGGGCATCTCTAACAGGTCCAGTTTTCATCAGTGTCCCACGCATTGTATGTTTAGTTTTGAAGATGGTTCTTAGTTGGAAACGGTTCCTGATGCATCTGAATTTCTCGGTGATACCCTTGACATACAGGATAACGACAGTGCCCTGGTATACTCTATCTGAAGAGGGGCGATTTCTTGCCGATGGCTTCATTACAGAGTCAATGAATTCTTTTGGATATTTACTGAGCATCAGATCATGTCTTATGTTTCTAATTTCATTGTTAAAATCCTTCTGGTTTTGACATATGACCTTCGTTTGGTTGACCAAACTAAGAACGACTCCCCTTGTTACATGATGTGGGTGGTTGGAATTGAAGTGAAGATAATGACCAATATGCGTAGGCTTTTGGTATACTTTGATGGTCAGTTTTTGACCCCGCTTCATAACCAAAATATGCAAGAATGGAAGTGCATTATTAGCCTCAACTTCCATAGTGAATCTGATGGTAGGTCTGATGCTGTTGATATGTTGAAGAAATTCCTGTAACTTTTCTGGTCCATATGGCCATATCACAAATGTGTCGTCGACATATCTTTTCCATTTAGTGGGTTGTATTCAGCTGTGTCCAATGCCATTTCTTCAAAATGCTCCATGAAAATATTACTGACCACTGGAGATAGTTTCCCATTGCCATACCCTCTTTTTGTTGCTAGAACGTATCGTCAAACTGGAAGTATGTGGTTTCTAAGCAGATGTCCAGTAGTTCCATCCCGTCTTAAACTTGTAAAGGTGAGCGCTCTGGAAAGGAAGGATCTGTACTGAGTCTATTTCTTATGACTTGTAATACCTCTTCCACTGGTACGTTGGTGAATAGACTAACAATGTCAAAACTTACAAGGCAGTCTTCTTTCTGCAGGTTGATATCCTGTATTGATTTTATGGAGTGTTCTGAGTTCTTTATGCCAGAAATCTTATTATTTACAGTGCCATCTTGTTTTCACTTTACTCCTTGACTTGATACATCCAGTTCCATGACAAAATTAGTCTCTGCCTGACTTTGCATTCCAAAACTTTTATCGCTATTGGAGACACTGAACTCTGTATCTCTTACAGTGCAGTCTCCTATCTCCTTCCTCACCACCCAAGTTGATAGACTGCTCCTTTGAAGGAGAGAAAGTTGCTAGAGAAGGCAAATTATTGTGCCTTGAAAATAAAATTCTCATGCTCACCCTCATTATTTCGTGGGGGTATGCAGTTAAGGTACTATGCTACAAGCCGGAAGGTTGCGGGTTCAAGTCCCGATGAGGTCATTGGATTTTTTCAATTGACCTAATCCTTCCGGCCGCACTAGGCCCTGGGGTTTACGCAGCCTCTAACAGAAATGAGTACCAGGAATTAAATGATTTTCCTGGGGAGTGAACCGTGGCCGGCGCATAAGGCTGACAACCTCACCGCCATTTCTGAGCTGATTGTCAAGGTAATGTGGGACCCTTAACGTCTCACAACCCTATGGGCCTTCATGACCTGTTACAGGGTTAGCTTTACTTTTTACCCTCATTATTTCATGTCCTCATGACGTACTGTTACTGCAGCCTTCAAAACACCATTGTCCATCTGTCCTTAATGATTACTAAAGAAGGTATTGTTACTCAAGTACTTAAATAAATACTATGCCATGAAGTAATTTGGGGGGACCCACCCTCTTTTTAAACTTGGAACTAGATGTGAGTTGTCACCTTTACACCCCTGTCACTTTATCCCTGGGGACAGAGGCCATGGTCCCTGTTGCATAAGAGTAGAGGTGGGCCCCAGAGCTGGTCTGGACTCTGTGGAGAAGAGAAAAATCTCTTCCCTACTGGGAATTGAACACCAGTCATCCAGCTCACAGCCTAATCACTGCAGTGACTGAACTATCCTGGCTTCTACTTAATGACTGCAAGCATAATGAAAATAAACAAAAAGGTTGGCCTCATATGCCAACTGCAGAACTCAAAAATTCATTCATTCATCAGACCAAAAGAAACTTTTAACTACTGAAGCTACACACAGAATCAATATTATGCAGCTGAAAGGAAGGTGTATTATAAAATACAGTCAACAAGAAAATATATATCACTTTGCACAGACACAAAATGTCAGTAATATTTTATAACCCCGTTCTCATACGAACGATAAGCAGAAAACTATATTTCAATATAAAATGTGCAAAAAGGTGGGGCAATTATGTGGGTAAATATGACATGTCCTACACACTTCTAATCTAGCCAAGACAGATAAGTCTCATGAAACAGGTGTGATTATGTGGTGAGCAAGAAAACTTCTTGCACAGGTTTTCAAATGTACAGTTATCACACTAATGATCATATTGATATCTTTTACCACTGGATCTCCATTCACACCATTTCTCTATCAAGGTTTCTGGCAAAGGAGGCAGCACACGATAATTTATGTGGGAACAAGACTTTCACAAATGATATATTTGGAACTAATCATGTTGTACTGAATGCTGGTAAAAATGGAATACTGCGGTCATACAGTTCAGAGCCAAGCATAGTATATGTTCTATTCAGCACAAACCAACTTCTCTTCTACATATGTCTGGTGCAAACAGCTTTGTCTACATGACACATGCAGTAATGTGCCCAGCAAACATAACTTTTGTCTGGTATCAAAACCTGAAGGTTCAACAATGGATAAAATACAGTAAACATCTCTGCATGCACATCTGCTTAAATGTGATAAATGTATGTGAACAATTATTTGCTGAATGCAGAATATTTGAATATACCCAGTCTGCCCTAACCACAATCCTGAAATACTACAGTTCAGTGGTTCTAATGTTGGGGTAATGTTTTAGCTACAAACACATCATCAGTCCTGCAGCCTATGTATACGTATACTCAATATGTCTGTAAGCATGCCATCTAAACCTGACCATGATGCTTTTGATAATTTCCAGCAACATATGCAGCGCCATTCATTCACGTACCCCCATTTAACTTGTAAGGGATTAAGTTTGCCTGACATGGATTTTTCTCAGGTGCTTTTCTCTGTGAATCTAACTCCTGCAATGGATGAGGATTTATTACTCTGAGCCAATTGCATTCATCTTCACAACCTTGTCTAGGATTCATTTTAATACTTATCCTCTCACAACTTTCTAAGTTTCCTCATCCAAAATTATGAACACGTTTCATGTGAGAGATTAAAAAAATTCTAAATTCAACACCTTAACACCACCAAGTAATGTGTGTGTTCCTCATAATGTAATATAATTTGCCAATACCTTTAAACCCCAAATGAGAAGTTTGTAATTTATACTTTATTCACAACCATGAGAACACAGTTTCAGTGATAAAATTACCTTCTTCATAATCATATTCATAAAAATAATCACAAGTAAAGCAAATTTATTTCCAAACTGATCATTTATTTGTCAACAATAAATTAAATCAGGACAACATTCTGTTAGTAAAAGAAAAAACTGAAGGGACAGCTTAGTTTCAATCACATATAACTTGACTAGGTTTCAAGTATTAAGACAAGACAGTGTGACAGTTACATAAACCATGATTTCAAACTACAGCATAGTGAAATAATTGTAGTATATATTATTTCTATACATTTTGACTTTGTTCACTAAAGGGTAAATAAAGATCAGGGACCAGTCCCATGTTACATATTTATATCTCATAATTTGGCTGAAACAATTTTTATAGGAACATATGTACAAGATACAGAACGTAATCTAAAGTTACTGTAGATACTTCAATGCAACAAATGGCAGCCGACAGTGGGCCATCATAACATTACAAATAAATACTATTCACTGCTGTGCCACTCATACTTGGGAAATGCACAAACAAAAACAATCTCCCAAGAGAGAGCTCTGGCACCATGTAACATTACTAGTCAAAATATTTTACTACAACAGGCATGGCAATTTGATTCAACAGCTATTTACATTAAAGCTTTTGCTACATTTCACAGTACTCCAGTATGGTATCAGGAAATGGAATGAAGAAACTGGGCAATGGTTTTGCGTCTCTCATGTGCATCTGGTGCAATCGTCAAGTATCGAAACAGACCACCCCCTTCCAAAATTCCAAATACTATGTGTAAATGTAGCGCTCTGCAAGAAACAATATGCTTCTGGGGTGCATATGCATCTCAGTACAATCATACTAATTAAAAGGTTAAACCTAAACCTAAATTGTGACACTGAGAATCCAAGCAACTAAAGATAATGAAATATTCTTTCCAGTGGTTCTGTAATACTGCTTTGGCATTAACACAACTGAAGGGTCAAGTGCAAAAACGGCATGGCTACAGTTGTGGCCAAAATTTAGTTTCACAGTGGTTCAAGCATTATAAAAAAAATCGCCCAATAAACTGGTGGAAGACTGGAGTGGCTCAAGTGATTAGGTGCTCTGTGATGGTGAAAATCGGGCCATGTCATAGTGTGATTTTAAATGAGTTCTTTGACGTGTTCTGTCTTCTGGGACATGCCATGTAGTCTGTTGAAAGCTACTGACATTTTGGAGGAACTGTCACCTCCACCTTCAGAGCTGAAGAGTAAGCCAAGCAAGACACCAGCATGAAGCATGTAGCAAGCCCACTCTTCAACCCTGAAGATGGAGGTGACAGGTTCCTCTGAAACATCAGTTAACTTTCAATGGAATATATGGCATTAAGTCCCAGAAGACAAACTCTTCATAATGACCACTGTGATGTCAAATCCTACACACTTTTTGTTTTCCAAAAGTCTGGAAATATAAAACTTTTGCACTGGAACCTTCAATTCTGATATAATTTACATATAATGCATTTTTAAATCTGCAGAAATGAGATTCGGTCTCTTATATGCAGTCGCTGCCAACTTGTACATTATTCAGTCGTACCCCTATCGCTGTGGCCTTGCAAGAAACATTATGAGAACTCAACGATTTACTGACATTTGTCCTTTTCTTCCTTTCCATTTCCCAGTGAGCCATAGAGAGGCTTCAAGCACCGCACTACAGAACTACTTGTCATAAAAACAATAATCTAACCACTCTGCACTTTTCGGCATATTTCGTCCGTAAATTCAGAGCATTTTGCAGATCCCCCAAGATCCCCTGTACGGTACTTAGCATCTTTGATTGTATCAAAACATGCTTTTTCAATACGGTCTGCATGGTCACTGAGTTTCATATACCTCAGCATCATGACTCCAGACAAGAGCAGTGCAGTTGGGTTTGCTTTATCTTGACCTGCTATATCAGGAGCTGTACCATGCACCTGAAAAAGGGAACACAAGGTATCAAACCTCTGGCTTACAATTTCTGGAATGAGGAGCAGAAATCAGAAACAGTCACAAATACAATGCAAAACTTTAATGGAAAAATGAATACAGTATGAATGTCAATTGGCTATATAGCGAATACTGCTCTTAGGAAATGTTTGTATTCATTTTTAATACAACAATATTTTAAAGAGTTATCCTGTATGTGAAGTGACAAAATTTTGCAAAAGTGGAAAACAGCATATTGTAACCCATGTGGAGATGAGTTAGAATAACTCCACCATACCCCTGTGAACCTCAGAAGGCAACAAAAAGGGAACCCAGTGTCTGGGGGTACAAGTGGGTCACCCTGTCACTGGAGGACATAAATACAGAGACCTGGTCCTCCAGGTTGGGGAATTGGACACAAGGCTGATGACCTTGCTCTGTGAAATAATTAGTTGTGAAATCCAAAGTGAAAACCATATCTAACCTGGCAGAATGTTCTGAGGAAGGCTATGACTCAAAAAGGTCTATTCTGCTGCTGCTGATGATGGTGACAATCACCACCACCAGCATCAAAAACAATAAGTGTCTAAAATATCTCTGGGAGTGCATGATCATTAGACGGTAACATAGATTGTTACATCATTAGAAAGTTGCTAGATTTTACTTTAACCATGTAATGGGAACTGAAATCAGCACCCCAGAGATCTTGCTGAACACGCAGGCCTTTCTTACATAAGCTTGACTACTCAAGGTATGACATACCCTGAGAAATGTTCCGAAGTTTATGTGTACACACATTGCCCTTTGGCCTCCGCAACATGCCAGCAATGTTTGAGCGGTTAACAGAGACTGTCTTAAGATGTCTCACGAGTCATGTCTCGTGTACCGGGACGATGTGATTGTGATTGGCTGCACGTTCCAAGAGCACCTGATAAATCTGCGGAAAGTGTTCCAGTGGTTCCGAGAAGCCCACCTAAAGTTAAATGCAGAAAGTGCCAAGTCTTTCAGAAGGATGTATGCTACCTTGGGCATATTGTGACACGTGAGGGGATATCCACTAGCCCCGAGAAGCTGGAAGCTGTATGGAAATGTCTGACGCCGAAGAATAAGCACAAAATTAGAAGTTTCCTGGGCCTATGCATGTATTACAGATGGTTCATTTCTGGTTTTGCCAACACTGTAAAACCTCTAACCAAACTTATGGAGGAGAAGTAAGCCTCAGTAGATTCCAGAAGTGGAAGCCACCATTCAAGCACCAAAGGAGGTCCTCTGTGCTGCCCCTATTCTTGCTTATCTGCAGCACTGCTGACACAACCGTAAATAACGTCAGGATTGGAGGAGTGCAGTCATAAATACAGGATGTACACTACTACACTAAAATGGTTATTAAGGCCAAGATAAGGCCGTGCCATAGCTCAAGCGGTTAGTCGCTGGCTTCCCACCACAGCGCCGCAGGTTCGATCCCGGGTCTGGACAAGTGGAATTTGTGGTGGACAAAGTGGCGCTGGGGCAGGTTTCCTCAGAGTACTTCGGTTTCCCCTGCCAATCTTCATTCCACCAATTGTTCCACAATCACCCTCACCTATCATCTGGGACTGGTATAATAGGCCAGAAGTGGCCACAGTACAAGGGACTTAGTCCCACCCCAGCAGAGAGAGAGAGAAAAAAGGCCAAGATAAATTACCGCGTCACCCAGTGGCAACTACTTGCAATCATGAGGACACTAGAACATTTCCATATGTACCTGTACGGATAAGAGTGCCACCTTAACACTGACCACTCTGCACTTACCTGGCTTATGAATTTTAAGAATCTTGAGGAACAAACCATCTGCAAGATTCAGTGCCTACAACAGTACAATTTCACTTCTCAGCACCATCAAGGCCAAAAACACACCAATGCCAGGAGAAGTTCCATAAAGTTTGGACACGTGCAGATGTCAAGCAGGTCAGCAATTGTGGCTGTACCAGCAGCTGGCTAAGATCCAGCCACTCTTGAGACCGAACAACTAAATGTCCAGGACATAGGGCCCATTCTAAAGGAAGCACAGACCAGACAGCCAACACCTGAAGCTGGCCAGTGACCGGATAAAAACTCATTACGGCAGACTGGCCAAATGTGCAGACTACCATGAGGGCAAGAGAGTTTGGCTCTATTGTCCAATCTGCAAGAAGGGGAAATAACCCTAGCTCCAATCATTATGGGTGGGTCCATACAAGGTAGTCACCTGGATAAATGCTGTGGTATACAGGATCCAGTGGAACCCTAGATCAAGGATGATGGAGGTACACCTGGACCGGCTTGTACCTCATCAGGGAACTGCTCAAGATGAGTGGCCTTAAGGAGGGAGCACTGGGGGTGTAATCACTGTGAGAATGAAGCCATGGGGAAGGAAGGTGTGGCCGATTACAGACATTACAAGCACAGCCCTAGGAAAAAAAGAAATGGCGGTATGCCTGTTTGCTATTCGCGATGAACAGCCTTAAGGAGGGAGCAATGTGACATGTAGATCTGTTGCTAGGCAATGACTGTGGAAGCAGCAGATATATGGCAGCTGTTACTGAGTAACAACTTTGCAAACAAGCATATTTGCATGGTAACAATTGGAAACAGCAATGAAGGACGTGTTTTCTGTGCAGTCCGTCCTGATATGTTACAAGTAGGTCAATTACTTGAGAGCTGACAGTTGGAGCAATGACTTAGATGTGAAACAGTTGCCGGCAGATAAGAACGTGAGTACGGAAGCAGAAAACATTGTTGGGATCTGTCACCAGACAATGCTTGGTGAAGACAGCAAACTGAGATTTCATGAGTGCTGAGGTTACAGTGTTCTTTGGAGTGTGTAACTCAGTGAGGCTGTCGTTATTTGTAGTTACATTCTGTACGAGTTCAATAAATCCAATTACCAATCCAAACCCCTTCTATAGTCACTCAAAAATTGCAACAATAAAAACATTAAAATTTCTCCACATTTACAAAACTCTTGTAGTGTCACATCTTCAGCACCGAACCTTTGACTTTCACCTACTGGTAAAGGAGAAATGTAAGAGTATGCAAGTGTTATAGAAATAAGTGTACTTTATGTTTTCATGTCAGGAGCGTGGAAGAACATATGTAACTACAGCAACTACTGAACAAACTAAAACTATACAGATATAACCCTAATGCTTGGATATTTCCCCACTCTCATGAATGGTCTGAGGTATACAAAAGCTGTAGGTCATATCATTTTCTTTTACCTTGCTTTCAACTTATCTTCTCCTTGGCCTAAGGCGTAACACTAAGCGTGACACGCTGTTTTACGAATACTACAGACATCAGCAGGGAAATATTTGATCTATGTGAGCTCTTTATTATCCATGATAATGGCAGTGAGAAGTACTGTAGGAACTTAAAAATGAGAGATTATCAACCACTATACTTTTATGAACCTGAGACAAGCTCTCCCATACTTGTGCACCTGAAGAATTAACCCTTCCGCACCGACCCTTTAAATAATCGTATGCCACCGACATCGGTGCAGTGCACCGACCTGCGCAGTGTTAGCTTTGAAGGACGTTGCTGACAAAACGAGGAAAGATATTCCAATTTTCTTTTCAGGAGTACATAGATTAAGGTTTCATCTTTCAATTGGTATATGAGTTATTTATTTTGGAC